TATACTAGTTAACCCCGCCACTTGCGAAGTCTTCGATATCTTCCACCTCACCTTCGGCAGTAATTAAGGTTCTTTCTCATACTACAGCTTCATATCGTTCCAGACCATGGAGCTGAAGTCTTTTCCAGGCTGAGGGACTGACACTTCGAACGATTTCTCCAAGGTTGATGGACTATTTACATCATCTTTACTTCGCCACTACTGCCACCTGCAATACATTCTCCTCCGTACTTGACAGATGAAGCCTACCGCGTAGGTGAAACATTTCAGCTACAAAGATACTCAACTGTTGCACATGTATCTACTCATCTTGGTGTCTAAGGAGACATATTCAAGGGTGATGGGAGGGGGTGGGGGCGAATGTCAGTGGTCTCTGGCAGCAGCTACCGATAGCTTACTCGTGCTGAACTCATTGATGTGAATATACATCAGGATACGAATGAGAGAGGTGAAAAGAAGTTAGAAGTCAACCAAGATCAGATTAAGAGATATTAGGAGACAGCAAAGGCCAGGTCAGGAGACATAAGGGAACAACCATGGCCAGGAGGGTAGGAGAGAGCCAAGGTCGCCAGGTCAAGAAGACCTTGGCTGGTGTCGAGTGTAAGCTTCTTTAAAAACCAGTGAATAAACAGTAACAAGACCGCTTTATGCTCAGGAGTACGAGTTCTGTTGTCATCGTCTCGTGCAATAGTTTGTTTATATTGAGACAGAAAAGTATAGGTACAGGTTAGGATAATTCTACGTGGTAGCATTTAGCAGCATTTGGTTTCAGCATCTTTGATATGTAAAGGGTATTCACATAAGTATTTCACTCTCATTTACATTACAAATATGCATACATGTGACGTAAACAGGTGCATCGTCATGCTGTACTAATGTTATAGCCCCAGACTGATTTTGGTATTTATTTAATTAGTTATTCTATTATGTGAAGACTTTTGTAGGTGTGTGTATACTCAGCGATTTGTGTTTGCCTCAGTCTCAGTAGCTGCCCGAGCCTTTTCGGTCAGTTAAGAAAGCTAATCATTTGGATTGCACAGGTCGTTTATTTAAAAAAAAGAAGCCATTGTATGTTGAATAGCTTGCTAAATTTGTGCTGTTGAGCTCAGTTCCTTGGACCTTCCTCTTTACTTTCAGTTGACTTACCTTAATTATTTCATATTTATGTATGAACCACTGTATGGAACCAGAATATCTGCATAATCTTGTAGTTGTTTCCACTTGACTACTCGCGCATTAAAGGCATGTTTCCTGACATCACTATAACTGAGCTGGGTGCTCAGTTATCATCCGTGTTCTCTTTTCTGGACTCTTCCCTACTGAAGTGTAATTATATTCGCAACCAAAGTGCTAAACCTTTTCTTGGTGAGAGATCTGTCTTCGTCTACCCTGTCAATACTCAAATTTATCTTTTGTGGCGATCATAGCACCCTAAATAGTCCCTAGCTGCTAACCATTACTGAACTTACGAGGCCCCTGAATATCAATAGTTGAGTGTTGAGGTAATTTTTTCTGGCGAATTTCACTTTTTTCTGTAGAAATTCTTATTTAGGTTTATTCTCGTGTTTAGTTCCATTGTGATTCTCATTTTTTTATCTGTTTTAACCAGTGTCTTCATCAACCTTATCTATACCTGTAAGTATCTTGTATGTTGTGAACATGTTGTTTCTTCGCATTTGTTTCTCCAGAGTCAGCTTTTAATGGTTTATCCTTGTATGAAATCAGTTCCTATTGTACGGTGTTCAGACTCGTTCCTCGTCATTATTACTCAAAAGTTAAAGAGATATGTCGTATATCTTTGAATGTTCAGCTTCTATCTGCATGTCGTCTTTAGACTCCCTTGAATACCTTTCATTCTTGTCTGGTTATTGTGAGTACAGTTAGGTGGCATGTCTGTCTTGTGATAAAGGAACGAAGATCGCACCTCCACCACTCCTCTAACTGAATAATCATTCCTAATAATTTTTCTTATTAATTATATGCGTCCTTGTCATATCCCTTGAGTTTTGAGTGATGACGTCTGATCTGCGTTGCTCCAGGAACATAAACCCCAGTTTGTGTAGACTTTTGTTTCCTCTGTCACCAATCAATGGGAGTGACTCTGAGTTTCTCCAGGTTTGATTTATTTGGCAAGGTGTGTGTGCGTGTGCCTGTGCTTCACGAAAACCGCTGGGTAATCTGTTGGTGCCAGCGCTCTTTGAATGCTAAAAACTTTCTTCTTTCCTGTTATTGGAAGAATGAAAGAAAGTAGATAGAATCAGAACATGCAAAATACCTAGAGTGCAGAAACGCGATAGATAATCACCCACTTTTTACCAGAAAAATTGCTAAAACAAGATATACGGAAACTACTTTTATGTGAGTTAAGTGATGCTGAGTAATATTGATGATAAGTTTAGTTATTGATGTTGAATAAGTTTAATCATCGATGTTAATCAAATTTAGTTATGGGTTAATAGTCTAGATGTTGGTTATAAAATTGAGCTATTGATGTTAATTAAGTTTAATTATTAATTAGTGTTGTTATTGTAGTTGATCTTTATATGTTGTATAAAAATAATGTAGTTCACTTATAGATGTATAATGTTAGTGATGTAGTTCAATCAGTGTTGTTGTTGAACATTACTAATGAAATAGCTAATCTCAAAGTTTTATTTTTGTCTGGCCATACAAACATTTGTATAACCCAGTGCACACAGTGTACACAGTGTACACAGTGTACACAGTGTACACAGTGAACACAGTGTACACAGTGAACACAGTGCACACAGTGCACACAGTATACACAGTGTACACAGTGTACACAGTGTACACAGTGAACACAGTGTACACAGTGAACACAGTGCACACAGTGTACACAGTGTACACAGTGTACACAGTGAACACAGTGTACACAGTGAACACAGTGTACACAGTGAACACAGTGTACACAGTGTACACAGGGTACACAGGGTACACAGTGTACACAGTGTACAAAGTGTACACAGTGTACACAGGGTACACAGGGTACACAGTGAACACAGTGTACACAGTGTACACAGTGTACACAGTGTACACAGGGTACACAGTGTACACAGTGTACCCTGTGTACACAGTGTACACAGGGTACACAGTGTACACAGTGTACACAGTGTACACAGTGTACAAAGTGTACACAGTGTACACAGGGTACACAGTGTACACAGTGTACACAGGGTACACAGTGTACACAGTGTACACAGTGTACACAGTGTACACAGTATACACAGTACAGTAGATAATAAAAATGTAATATATCTTATAATACTAAATGCAGTATAACTTCATGCAAAATACAATGTCATACAACATACAGTATGGCACTTATCACAGTTTATATGGATGCTAAAAAGTTGTGAATAAACTCTTTATCAGTTTTGAACAATGAAGGCGGGGGTGGGAGGGTTGTTGGTGGAGGCGGGGGTGGGAGGGTTGTTGGTGGAGGCGGGGGTGGGAGGGTTGGTGGTGGAGGCGGGGGCGGGAGGGTTGTTGGAGGCGGGGGTGGGAGGGTTGTTGGTGGAGGCGGGGGTGGGAGGGTTGTTGGTGGAGGCGGGGGCGGGAGGGTTGTTGGTGGAGGCGGGGGTGGGAGGGTTGTTGGTGGAGGCGGGGGCGGGAGGGTTGTTGGTGGAGGCGGGGGTGGGAGGGTTGTTGGTGGAGGCGGGGGTGGGAGGGTTGTTGGTGGAGGCGGGGGTGGGAGGGTTGTTGGTGGAGGCGGGGGTGGGAGGTGTTGGGGAGGCGGGGGTGGGAGGTTGTTGGTGGAGGCGGGGGTGGGAGGGTTGTTGGTGGAGGCGGGGGTGGGAGGGTTGTTGGTGGAGGCGGGGTGGGAGGGTTGTGGTGGAGGCGGGGGCGGGAGGGTTGTTGGAGGCGGGGGTGGGAGGGTTGTTGGTGGAGGGGGGGGTGGGAGGTTGTTGGTGGAGGCGGGGGGGAGGGTTGTTGGTGGAGGCGGGGTGGGAGGGTTTTGGTGGAGGCGGGGGGGAGGGTTGTTGGTGGAGGCGGGGGGGGAGGGTTGTTGGTGGAGGCGGGGTGGGAGGGTTGTTGGTGGAGGCGGGGGTGGGAGGTTGTTGGTGGAGGCGGGGGTGGGAGGTTTGTTGGTAGGAGGCGGGGGCGGGAGGGTTGTTGGTGGAGGCGGGGGTGGGGGTTGTTGGTGGAGGCGGGGTGGGAGGGTTGTTGGTGAGGCGGGGGGGGGAGGGTTGTTGGGGGGAGGCGGGGGTGGGAGGGTTGTTGGTGGAGGCGGGGGTGGGAGGGTTGTTGGTGGAGGCGGGGGTGGGAGGGTTAGTGGTGGAGAGCGGGGTACGGGAGGGTTGTTGTAGGAGGCGGGGTGGGAGGGTTGTTCGGTGGAGGCGGGGTGGGTAGGGATTGTTGTGGAGGCGGGGTCAGGAGGTGGACTGTTTTGTGAGGCGGGGGTGGGCAGGGTGTGTGTGAGTGTACGGCGGGTCCGGAAGGGTGTTGGTGGACGGCCAGGGGTGGGAGGGTTGTTGGTGAGAGCGGTGGTGGAAGGGTGTTGGTGGAGCTGAGATGGAGCTAGATGGTGGATGGCGGAGCAAAAGGGTAATGGTGGAGGCGTTGGCATGGATGTTTATTGGAGGCGTGGGTCGGGACGGGTTGTTGATGAGGCGGGGGTGGGAGGGTTGTTGGTGGAGGCGGGGGTGGGAGGGTTGTTGGTGGAGGCGGGGGGGGAGGGTTGGTGTGGAGGCGGGGGGGGAGGGTTGTTGGAGGCGGGGGTGGGAGGGTTGTTGGTGGAGGCGGGGGTGGAGGGTTGTTGGTGGAGGCGGGGGGGGAGGGTTGTTGGTGGAGGCGGGGTTGGGAGGGTTGTTGGTGGAGGCGGGGCGGGAGGGTTGTTGGTGGAGGCGGGGGTGGGAGGGTTGTTGGTGGAGGCGGGGGGGGAGGGTTGTTGGTGGAGGCGGTGGGTGGGAGGGTTGTTGGTGGAGGCGGGGGTGGGAGGGTTGTTGTGGAGGCGGGGGTGGGAGGGTTGTTGGTGGAGGCGGGGGTGGGAGGGTTGTTGGTGGAGGCGGGGGTGGGAGGGTTGTTGGTGGAGGCGGGGGTGGGAGGGTTGTTGGGGAGGCGGGGGTGGGAGGGTTGTTGGTGGAGGCGGGGGCGGGAGGGTTGTTAGTGGAGGCGGGGGTGGGAGGGTTGTTGGTGGAGGCGGGGGTGGGAGGGTTGTTGGTGGAGGCGGGGTGGAGGGTTGTTGGTGGAGGGGGGCGGGAGGGTTGTTGGTGGAGGCGGGGGCGGGAGGGTTGTTGGTGGAGGCGGGGGTGGGAGGTTGTTGGTGGAGGCGGGGGTGGGTGGGTTGTTGGTGGAGGCGGGGGTGGGAGGGTTGTTGGTGGAGGCGGGGGTGGAGGGTTGTTGGTGGAGGCGGGGGGCGGGAGGGTTGTTGGTGGAGGCGGGGGCGGGAGGGTGTTGGTGGAGGCGGGGGCGGGAGGGTTGTTGGTGGAGCGGGGGGGGGGAGGGTTGTTGGTGGAGGCGGGGGTGGGAGGGTTGTTGGTGGAGGCGGGGGTGGGAGGGTGTTGGTGGAGGCGGGGCGGAGGGTTGTTAGTGGAGGCGGGGGGGGGAGGGTTGTTGGTGGACGGGGCGGGAGGGTGTGGTGGAGGCGGGGGCGGGAGGGTTGTTGGTGGAGGGGGGGGCGGGAGAGTTGTTAGTGGAGGCGGGGGTGGGAGGGTGTTGGTGGAGGCGGGGGTGGAGGTTGTTGGTGGAGGCGGGGGTGGGAGGGTTGTTGGTGGAGGCGGGGGCGGAGGGTTGTTAGTGGAGGCGGGGGTGGGAGGGTTGTTGGTGGAGGCGGGGGTGGGAGGGTTGTTGGTGAGGCGGGGGTGGGTGGTTGTTGGGAGGCGGGGGTGGGAGGTTGTTGGTGAGGCGGGGGTGGGAGGGTTGTTGGTGGAGGCGGGGGTGGGAGGGTTGTTGGTGGAGGCGGGGGGTGGGAGAGTTGTTGGTGGAGGCGGGGGTGGAGGGTGTTGGTGGAGGCGGGGGTGGGGGGGTTTGTTGGTGGAGGCGGGGGCGGGAGGGTTGTTGGTGGAGGCGGGGGGGGGAGGGTTGTTGGTGGAGGCGGGGCGGGGTTGTTGGTGGAGGCGGGGGCGGGAGGGTTGTTGGTGGAGGCGGGGGTGGGAGGGTTGTTGGTGGAGGCGGGGGTGGAGGATTGTTGTGGAGGCGGGTGGTGGTGGGTTGTTAGTGGAGGCGGGGGTGGGAGGGTTGTTGGTGGAGGCGGGGGTGGGAGGGTTGTTGGTGGAGGCGGGGCGGAGGGTTGTTGTGGAGGCGGGGGCGGGAGGGTTGTTGGTGGAGGCGGGGGCGGGAGGGTTGTTGGTGGAGGCGGGGGCGGGAGGTTGTTGGTGGAGGCGGGGCGGGAGGGTTGTTGGTGGAGGCGGGGGCGGGAGGGTTTGTTGGTGGAGGCGGGGGCGGGAGGGTTGTTGGTGGAGGCGGGGGTGGGAGGGTTGTTGGTGGAGGCGGGGGTGGAAGGGTTGTTGGTGGAGGCGGGGGCGGGAGGGTTGTTGGGGAGGGGGGGGCGGGAGGGTTGTTGGTGGAGGCGGGGGCGGGAGGGTTGTTGCTGGAGGCGGGGCGGGAGGGTTGTTGGTGGAGGCGGGGGCGGGAGGGTTGTTGGTGGAGGCGGGGGTGGGTGGGTTGTTGGGGGAGGCGGGGTGGGTGGGTTGTTGGTGGAGGCGGGGTGGGAGGGTTGTTGGTGGAGGCGGGGGTGGGAGGGTTGTTTGGTGGAGGCGTGGGTGGGAGGGTTGTTGGTGGAGGCGGGGGTGGGAGGGTTGTTGGTGGAGGCGGGGGTGGGAGGGTTGTTGGTGGAGGCGGGGGTGGGAGGGTTGTTGGTGGAGGCGGGGGTGGGTGGGTTGTTGGTGGAGGCGGGGGTGGGTGGGTTGTTGGTGGAGGCGGGGTGGGAGGGTTGTTGGTGGAGGCGGGGGTGGGTGGGTTGTTGGGGGAGGCGGGGGCGGGAGGATGGGTTTGTTTGGGGGAGGCGGGGGAGGGAGGGTGAAGAGGGGATAAAGCAGGTTTCTAACTACATATTTTAGCCTTGTTTATGACCCCGCGAAGTCGCTGGTTTGTTCATTCAGTGAAGCTGAGACACCTGCTGGCACGGATATATATACCGAGAAGCGTATACAGTAAATCTCAGTATATATAAGCTGAGACTTTAATCTCTTTTTCAGGAATTAGTCTTGTGACTGGTACTGTACAGGTGATGTATAGTCTTAATGACCCTCGTGTATTCGATAGGCTTTAAACCTCATAAATCAACCTGCCTGCTGGCTGGTCGTGTGGGCTTTTATGTATAATGTGAAACGCGTTCATGCTAGGAAAGTGCTGTGGAAATACATGTCTTCACATCACTGAGAACTTAAAGGAGAACAGACATGCATTTGCTGTAAATTTGAGCACTTCATCATACTTGATATACTTATTTATGTTTTTCTTCTTAGCGCATATATTCTTAGCATGTACCAAAAAATATACTATACTTTTATGGCAATAACTTTAAATGAAATTTAACTGGGGAAGGTTGGATAAGTAGAGGGACACCAATGAGAGTGATGGTAGTAGGAGCGTGGAAAGTGGGGTGGTGGTGATAATGAGTATAAGTGTGGTCTGTGGTGGAGGTGGTGTTGGTTGGTGGAGTTTAAGCAGTAGAGGTGATGGTTGTGGTGGTGAGGTAGCAGTGTGGGCGCTGGTGGTAGTGGTGGTGAGCAAGAGAGGTGGGCGGCAGTGGTGATGGTTGTGCTGGTGGTGGATGGGCATCAGTGAGGGTGGTGGTGGGTAGCACTGTGGCGGGGCAGGCAGGGAAGCCCTGCAGTAGCTCTGGACAATTAGCTACATCCGCTGGTCAACGCACGTTGCTCTACCCTCCACCTGTTATTACGTCTCATTCCTATTTTCTGCTGTTTTGCTGTGTAATTATCAGCTTGTGGTTTATACGTGGCCTGTTAGAGAGGGTCGGCTCTTCCCACGGCTGTATTATCGTCGCGGTTCATGAAGATGTTACAATGCATTCATCTCTCTAGTTGATACACCTGTTACAGTTACCTGTATTCATCTTCCAGCTAGATGAAAATGTTAGTAATATGTATTCATCATCATAGTTGATGCATATGTTTGAGTGATACATTGCAACTCTGGTCAGCTTTACCATCCAGATAATGTTAATACAAAAGTCTTATAGCTACTTCTGTGCCAACATTTTTTTCCTGTGTTTTGAGTGCTGTCCCCCCAGGACAGGTTTGTATATGAGGGCTGGCCCCTTGAACGGGTTTGTGCTTGAGGGCAGGCCCCCTAGGACAGGTTTGTGCTTGAATGCTGGTCCCTAGAGTGGGTTTGTGCTTGAGGGCTGGCCCCCAAGACAGGTTTATGTTGGATTGCTAGCTGATCTCAGGGCAGGTTTGTGTTTGAGGGCCGGCTTCCCTTCCCCACAAATCCTAGCATTCCTCACCATCCCACCCAAACATCCACCCACTCCCACGTGATATTTTACCCACTTCCTCTCACACGCCTGCGCCCACACTGTTTCCTCCAACTTGAGATACTTACCAGCTTTTCTCTGCTCTCTACGATTTCACTTTTCTTGTTCCCACTGTATCACTTCTTGCAACCTACTTTTTTCTTTCACTTCTCACCTCCAATCCTCCTCCTCGCTTTTCTCCCCACACAACCAAAATCTTTCCCAGTGATACCTGGAGATACAGATAAACCAAACACTGGAAACATAAAATGAATGAAGGAAAAAATTAAGTGTGGTATACAAGTGCAGACAGAATTACACACATGAACTAAGGAAAAAAGTAATAGAGGAAAATCCAGACATCATAGCTCTCAAAGAGACTCAGATATCAGGGATAATAAACCAGTATTTCTTGATCGATACCCTCTAGTGAGAAGCAAAAGAAGGTATAGAGGTGGAGTGGTGCTTTTGATTAAGAACCACTGGAATATTGAAGAACTATGAGATCTGAATATTCGTGACTTTCATGATGATGTAATAGAACTGTAATAAGTGGAGACTGTTAATAGTAGTAATGTATAAACTTCTGAAGAATAACAGAACACCAAGCTAGGAATATGAGAATCATCAGACTACGACAGATCTCATAGAGATAGCCTCAAAGAAAACAAGAAGGGGCCCATGCAAAAATATTATTTGTAGGGGATTTAAACTAAATGGACATAGACTGGGAAAATTGGGATCAACATGGAGTACCAGAAATGTACATAGCAAGATTGATGAAAGTTGCAATGGGAAATCCCCTGACCCAACAAGCCAAAAATATAACAAGGATGAGAAATGAGAAACCAGCAAGACTGAATCTTGTCTTCAGCCTAAGTGAAGCAGATATATTATAAAGTCAATTATTTATGTAGATCCGCTAGAAACTAGTGACCATGTTGTGTTGATATTATTGATAGGAGGTCAGTTTCTCAGCCTAAAGCAGAAGCATGTGGCATGAGGCATGTAGATCAGAGGTGAGGTTTAGCAACCGAAGTTGATGTCACAGGTGAGCATGGCCCACTAATGCTAAATAAATGGAGTTGCAGAAGACTTTCCCTGTACCAACATACCATGTTATTTCTGTGTCAAGACATGTGTTATGTTATAGATATCGTTCGACACCAACAAGTTGACGAATTTGCAACACTTGGGTATCTTGTTTTATAAAAAGTTTCCTGTCTCATATCAATATGAGGGACTGATACGTCAGAATAACGTCTTCAATTGTCTATAGTATTATATTGACCTGTATTCGACTGGAGAAGACTAATGCATAAGCGTTATATTTCGGCAGTATAATAAATCACTAGATATTGGCTATCTATCCTTGCTTATAAGAACATAAGTACATAAGAAAGAAGGAACACTGCAACGGGCCTACTGACCCATGCGAAGCAGGTCCATGCCACCCCCCGGCCTAGAACAATGACCACCTAGTCAGGTCACTTCCACGTAAGGAAGGAGCACGGCACCAGACCTGGTAGCCCAAGCTAGTCAGGTCCAACTCACACCCACCCACACCCACTCATGTATTTATCCAACCTATTTTTAAAATTACACAAGGTCTTAGCGTCTATGACGGTACTCGGGAGTTTGTTCCACTCATCCACAACTCTATTACCAAACCAATGCTTTCCTATATCCTTCCTGAATCTGAACTTTTCCAACTTGAAGCCATTGCTGCGATTCCTGTTTTGGCTGGATATTTTCAGCACGCTATTTACATCCCCTTTATTTATTCCTGTTTTCCATTTATACACCTAATTCTACACCTTTCTAGAGAGTGCGAATTCAGGGCCCTCAGTCTATCCTCATAGGGAAGATTTCTGATACATGGGATCAACTTTGTCATCCTCCTCTGTATGTTTTCCAGTGCATTTATATCTAATATGGTGACCAGACCTGTGCAGCATAATCTAAATGAGGCCTAACCAAGGATATATAGAGTTGAAGAACAACCTGAGGACTTCTATTATTTATACTTCTTGATATGAAGCCAAGGATTCTGTTAGCTTTATTGTGAACACTTATGCACTGTTGTCTTGGTTTCAGATTACTGCTAACCAGAACCCCTAAATCCTTTTCGCAAGGATTTTTCCATATTTGTTAAATTTTCCTTTGGGAGTTTTAGAAGGGGTTAATGTATGGTACTTTCCTTTTTCTCCCTCCAGTTGCAGTGATAAGGTGGTCAGCAACACGCAAAGTAGATTTGACCATCGGGTGGATTTTCTAGTGAACCAGTGAATTTGACACTCGGGTAGTATGTTTGGTGGCTGTCTGGAAGGACAAATATTACTTGAGGCCACTTGAGCATCTAGGAATGATGACTGACGGTGTGCAGCTCTTGGTGTTCTTTCTAGCTCACGCTTCACCCATTAATGGCCGAGTGCTGATGGCACTTCTGGCGCTCCCAGGAGAGTAGGTGATTTTTCTAAATCTTGTACTGTTAATTCCTGGCGAGACATCCTGGGGCTCGCCATCCTAGGACTGTGCATTAAGTAAGGTAAAAGGTGGTTCCCGAACGTAAGTTGGCAATGCTTGTCTTGGATTAAATGGTTTAGAAAACCGTAAAGTTGAAGATTGAGACACCTATGCAACATATGGGAATCTTTATTGAGGAAACGTTTCGCCACACAGTGGCTTCATCAGTCCAATACAAAGCAGAAAGATGTAAAGAGAGGAGTTTGAGGTAATCAGTCCCTCAGCGTGGAGTCGATGTGTTCAATCCAGGCCGAGGGACTGATTACCTCAAACTCCTTCTCTCCTTACACCTTTCTGCGCTGTATTGGACTGATGAAGCCACTGTGTGGCGAAACGTTTCCTCAATAAAGATTCCCATATGTTGCATAACTGTCTCAATCTTCAGTGCGTGTCTTGTTGGTGTTGGGTATAGGGAACTAGTGGCAGGGAAATGATTTCTTTATATTAATCAGCCAGCGGTCTCCCATTTCTTTCTGCACTTCTGTTTTGTTCTCTCTGTACTTTGCTCTCTATATATTTATGTCTATTAAGGCACCACCCTCTTCTCCAGAACCCTTTCCCCCCATTGGTCTCGTGCTGCCCAGCCTTTGGGCACCTTGCCTTGCCTTCCTGTCCGTGTTGCCATTTCTGGCCTGTAGATTGTAGTGGCTCTCCTGAGGGGAGGACTCATGGGAGTGTATCTGCCAAGGAGGGGTCTGGTGGAGGCACACATAAACAGGAAGTGTCCTGCTTTTTCCAAAGGTCACGAACTTCCTATGCTTGATATAGGGCCTACACTGCTGCCTCTTGCTGGGAC